CCCTTGCCCATGTTTGCCCGCACCCTTCCCATCTCCCTGCCTGCACCCTGCCTGCACCCTGCCCACCTCCCTGCCTGCACCCTGCCTGCCTCCCTGCCTGCACCCTTGCCCATCTTCTTGCCCACACCCTGCCCACCTCCCTGCCTGCACCCCTGCCCATGTTTTTCTCAGCATTCCTGCCCATCTCCCTGCCTGCACCCCTGCCTATGTCCCTGCCTGCACCCTTCCTGCCTCCCTGCCTGTACCCCTGCCCATCTCCCTGTCTGCACCCCTATGTCTCTGCCTGCACCCCTGCCCATGTCCCTGCCTGCACCTCTGCCCCCTGCCTTCCCCCCTGCCCATCTCCCTGCCCGTGTTCCTGCCTGCACCCTGCCTGCACCCCACCCAAGTACTGGGCAGACTGGGGGGGTGGGTGATGTTAGTGCAGGCTTTGGCAGACTTTGGCAACGGCAAGCACTTTCTGGGTGCAAATGAGGGTGATCAAAGCCTGAGATGGTTTCTAAGAGATTCTTTATGTCCCGAGGAAATACCCAGTGCTGCTCTGCTGGCAAAACAGGGCTCATCATCTGATGGCACCGTTATCAGGGGGGTGATTACAGAACCACCAGCAACCCCCCACCCAATGGTGACATCTGCTCTTACGGCTCAGGGCAGCAGGAGAAGGCTTCCTCCTGCAGAAGACACCTTATTCACCCTCTGCAACTATAATTAAATTATAGATAGCAAACTAAGTTATTTAGCACCCCTATTAAAGATGCATGGCCCCTGTCTTTTTTTGGCGTGTGCTTGAGGAGGAGCAGCACCGAGGCAGGTAAATGCTGCTTTTCCGGGGATTTCGCCTCGTGCTGATGGACTGTGATGAAGATGCTCTGCTGGGTTTGGACACGGCCGGTGGCTCACCCCGCGCTGCAGGAACCACCACACGGTGTTTGCAGCAACAGCACTTTGTTTTTAAAGCATCTGTATGGTCCTTGGCTGCTTCACGGAGTGGGTTTCTCCCGGCTCTTTTCACCCGTTATCTCCTCTGAAGGGAGATGATGGGATCTCCACTGCAGGAGCTGGAGCTGGGGGTGGGAAGGGGGACTCAGCCCCCATAAACCAGCCACAAGCAGGGTTTGTGCTGCAGAAACCACCCCGGGCTCTCTCAGGCTGGGGGAGCACAGGGGATTTGGGTGGGAACCGGTCTCGCAACACAGGTATCTCCAGGGTAATCCAAACCAGCTCACAGAGGACGTTCAGCTCCATGTCTGCTCACTCAGGAACCTCAGGGGACTGGGAAAGCACCAGTTTGGTGCTGGGAGGCAGGACCCCTCTGCTCAGGGCAGAGCAGGGAGCACCAGCAGAAACCCAGTTTGACGGCAGGGCAGGTCTGTTGGGGAGGAACAACAGGGAGGTGGTTCAGGTCTGATGATAAATGGGTCTCCAAGAGCTCTGCCAGCAGCCAGGGATGGTACGTCCAGGTGGACGAGGAAGCTGAAGGTGCTGGAGGCTGTGAAGGGCTGCAGCAGGTTCTCCCTCTCCCAGGGGAGATCACACAACCCAGACCCCATAGGGCAGGGTACGGACCCAGCGCCCAGCCAGGATCTCCACAGGGCCATGGCCATTCCTCGGGGGCATCCTCAGCCTGGGCGGCTGAGATGTACCAGAAAAGGAGAGCTCTCTACCCCTGGCCACTCCTCCTCCTGAGGAGAATTCAGGCAGACACAGGGGCAGGGAGGTCAGGAGCAGATGCCGGGGGTGACAGAGACACCTTTGCTTTAGCTGATACCCCTGGAGAAACATCAGCTGCCTTTGCCTGGGCCAAGAGGGGGAACCAAACTCCTCAGCGCTTCATGGCGATAGCACGTTCCTTAGGGCCAACTGGTGTTGTTGTAGATCTCCATTATTAGCTGGTCTTCGTGACTAATGACAGTGTAATGAATACATTCACACGGTAAAATACAATGTTCCTGCCATCAGGGAAATACACGATGGGGAAATTTGTGCCTGCAGTTCCTGTTTCCCAAATGCAGCCCGACCACTGGCGGCACAGGTCACTCTGCACATCTGCTCCTCGACAACGTCCATGGAGGTCACAGCCATTTGTAAAGCTCCAGGGGCTCCCTGGGGATGTAGCTGTGCTGGTGAGAGATGTGCCAGGAGGTCGTAATGGGAAGAAGAGCAGTGCTTGGGAAGATGAGCTTGTCTTCTTGGGAAGAAAGCCAACTCCATCCTGGGCTGCATTCCCAGCAGCGTGGCCAGCAGGGTGAGGGGGCATGGATTCTGCCCCTCTGCTCTGCTCTGGGATGACCCCCCCCCAAGTGCAGCCTCCAGCTCTGGGGCCACCAACACATGGATTCTGCCCCTCTGCTCTGCTCTGGGATGACCCCCCCCCAAGTGCAGCCTCCAGCTCTGGGGCCACCAACATCAGAAGGATGTGGACCTGTTGGAACGGGGCGAGAGGAGGCCACGGAGATGCTCCAAGGGCTGGAGCCCCTCTGCTGTGAGGACAGGCTGAGAGAGTTGGGGGGGTTCAGCCTGGAGAAGAGACGGCTCCGGGGAGACCTTAGAGCCCCTTCCAATCCCTAAAGGGGCTCCAGGAGAGATGTGGAGGGACTCTGGATCAGGGAAGGGAGCCATAGGACATGGGGAGCAGTTTTAAACTGAGAAGAAGGGAGATTGAGATGACATATTGGGAAGAACTTCTTTGGTGTGAGGGTGGTGAGAGCCTGGCCCAGGTTGGCCAGAGAAGCTGTGGCTGCCCCATCCCTGGAGGGGTTCAAGGCCAGGCTGGAGGGGGCTTGGAGCAACCTGGTGTGATGGGAGGTGTCCCTGCCCAGGGCAGGATGATCTTTAAGGTCCCTCCCAAACCAAACCATTCTGTGATTCTATGACTCTATGACATGATGGCACAGCTCTGTGTGGAGACAACGGAGCACAATGGGGAGATGGTGCTGCTACAGGGTACCAGCCACCACCCTGGGCAGTCACCTACATCGTCTGGCTACGTCAGAGCAAACCAGTTCAGCCAGTGTCCACGCTTAAAATTCAGTCTGGTTTTGATAAAGTGATGTCACTTCACAGTGGAAAGAAAGATGTGCAGGAGAGGACTTCTCCAAAGACCCCTGCGCTTCCAGTTTTCAAATCTGTAAGGTGACAGACATGGGGCCGGAGCCTCCTGCCTGGCTGTCACCAACAGAAAGTGTGGGTCACCAGCCTTTACTCTTCGTGTGCCAGCTCCTGTCTCCACAGAGCCAGTGGGTGACATGGCCGGGTGAGCTGGGACAGTCTGGCTTGCTCTGCTGCCCCCGAGCCATGAGGAACCTGCTTGTGCAGGAGGAGTGAGGAGGGATTTGGTCCTTGTATCACACCGAAACAGGACTTTGTCTCCCCAACAGGTACATGGATTCTCCTCCCACCTGTAATGACAGGTTTGGTGCCGTTTGATGGGAATTGCTTTGCTGACATGGGACTCTGCCGGGGAGTTATCAGCATCTCAGCAACCCAGCACCTCGTAGAGCACAGGGAGGTGGTGGTGAGACAGGTCTTTGGGACGGCCTGGGTCGCTCCCACGGGCTCCACTCCCATTTTCCTTCCCCTGGCACAAGCACAGATGTTTTGCCTCTCCATCCCACATTCCAGTGGCGGGATCCTGCCTTCCAAACCACAGCGAGCATTGCTGCGGAGCTCGTAGAACCTGCTGGGGTGTTTATCGCTGCGTAGCATCCAGTCTTGACTCCAGAGAAAAAGAGTAAGGAATGACTTAATTCCTTTGCTGGAGACTCCATTAATGAGAGCAGAGATATTTCACCCAGAAGGAACAGGAGTTGCACAGTGTTTGACGCACAACGTATGTGCACAGACACCCTCCGAGAAGGATCCACCCTTATTGTGGTATGAGCAGTAAACATTTTCCGTGGCATATGAAGAATAATAAGCAATTATACCTTTAAATTGCCATCCCCCCATTGCCTGCCGAAACAGCTAATATTATCAATCCAGGTATGACAGTATCAAGCAAACACTGCCATTAAATCATCATCTTCGTTAACTAAAACATCTGTAAGCCTTAACATTAAGGACTGCAACATTTTGCTACCATTTTAATTTCATGACAGAATTCTCACAGGCCTTCAGTGCCTGCAAAAGAAATATTTACTTCACTCACATCACTTCACAGCCCAGCTGCCTGCACTGATCTTTAAACAAACAGCATCTTGAGAGCTGTTGGTTTTAATAGCCGAAATGATACCGGGTCCTCATTCTCAGAGAAAATCTATATTTCATGCAAATTTGGAGCCTGTTTGAAAAATCAGGCCAAGGAGCAGGAATCGGAGTGTGTCTGGCTGGAAAGAGCCAAGCATTTTTAGAAACGACTGCACTCTCACTCTTGAAAACCAGGCCCCTGCAGAGAGTTTTAAATTGGACACCACAAACGAAGAAGCCCCAACGTCCTTGTATTCCTTTGAGAACAGAGATTTAAAAGCTTCACTCAAAAGAGCTTCCCAGTTAAACGCCCGAGTGGGAGCTGAGGGCTTTTTCCTTAATCAGCACCAGACAAATGGAAATGAACACAGAAGACTGAACTTACACAATTTATTCATTAAAGGAAGGGACAGAAAGGGGTGGGGAAGAGAGAGCCCACGTGAAAGCAAGAGAGACTGCCAGGGAAGGTGGCAACAACAACAGGCAAGTGTTATAACAACAGCCAAGATGATTTGCAGAAGTGATGAAGGATGGTGGGGGCAGCCGAGGAAGCAGCAGCTCCTGTGCCAGCTCTTAGTGCAATTCTGGGTATTTCCAGATCAGGATGGCACCGTCTGCACTCACACTCACGATGTACTTCTTGTTGGGGCAGATCTTAAGACGGGTGATGTTGCCACTGTGGCCCACTCCAATGTGAGTCACCGTGCCCTCGTAGTCCCACAGCTTCACCAGACGGTCATCGCCACCTGCGGTGGGAAGAACAAACCATTACACAGAGTTCTGCTGCTTCGTGTTCCCAGATCACGGGCAGGGGAATACTCAGGCACTCATTTGATTTAGGATGAGTGGGATACATTGTCTCGGGCATTATGGCAGGATACGTTACAGTAAAAATGACTTATTCTCAACTGAAGTAGAGAGTGAGTGTCCAGTAGAGTGCTCAGGACCTGCATCAGCACATCACCATGAGCTCTGGCCAGCAGAAGGCACTGATAATATGAAGGGCCTTCAAAAGGCTCTTGACCAATGTTTAAGAGGTTGTTATGGGTTGAGAAAACCCATAACAATTTACTGTCATTTAGAAAATTATTCTATCACCTGATGACCCCTGCCCACCTGGAAGGGGAATCGAGGAACATAAAGAAACAGGAGGGTTAAAATATAAATAGATTTAATAGGATAAGACCAAATACTTAACAATAATACCAAAGAACCAATATTCATCTCAATACCCATACAAGATACACGAGGATTATCCCCAGCCCATTCCCCAGCAGAAGCCGTGCTCTCCCCGCAGGGACAGTCAACGTGGGACCCTGCGAGCGCTGGGGCTTCAGGTGGAAGGGAAAGGCTCAGGGCTCTGGCACCGGGGCAAGGAGTTCTCAGGGTGGCAGCCATCAAGGGAGAGAGAGAGAACTCCTCAGCAAACTCTCTATTTTAGATCGAATGTGACATTCATGGTATGAAATAACCCTGCTGGCACCTTCCAAGGATGGGCTTTAAGGTCCCTTCCAACTCTAACCATTCTATGATTCTGTGATCCTCCAAGGCTGAACCACAGCCTTTTTCTAAGTATTCATTCAGTGATTCATTTTATTTTCCCCTTCAGCTGACCCCCTCCTTTGTCCTATTTTTTTTCTTGGTTCATCACCTTCCTTTTCCTGCTCTTAACACAACCTTCTCTTTCTAGCTTCATGCACCTACTCACCTGTGACAAAGTGCTTCCCATCTGATGTGATGTCCATCCCATTGATGGTACCAGACGCAGACCCTTCCACTTCTTGGACGAGAGAGCCATCAAACACTTCCCAGTAGGCAACCTGGGGAGTGGAGCAGAGGGGAGAGCTCAGCTGGGTACAAACAGCATTAACATTCTGCCCCCTAACACCAACCTCTGTGGAGGTACCGGAGTTTCACCACGTAACAAGCCCCACACGTTGTGTTTTGGAATTACAGCATACAGAATTCCTGCAATTTTGCTCACCTTTCTGTCTGTTCCAGCGGTGATTATCTGGTACACTTCAGGGTGGTAACACACACATTTGAACAACGTGTTGGCAAGAAATATTTGCTTTCTTACAAAACGCCTGCAAAACACCCCCAAAACAGGATAGGGTCAAAAAATGAGCTTTGACTGCCTAACTATCCCTGCTGGTGCTGTGCATCAGATCTCTCCTTCTACTCGGATATTTTCAGGTATTGATCTGAGCTCAGAGTTTCACAAAGCTGACTGGGGACATCACCTTTGTTCCCCATCACAGCTGCCTCAGAAGACTTTCGATCTGTGTCATACTAAATGCAAATTTGTAATCCAAGATGCTTTCTAGGTGCTATTCGCTATGCAAACATTTCCTTGTCCTTACCCCAAAGCAGAGAGCCTGCAGATCTGCAATAGTTCAACAGCCATCATACAGTGCTGGAAAAAGGAGCCAGTTGGACATTTAGGAAATCACTTGCTACACCCCCTTGGACAAGCAGGATCCAACACCTGAGCCAAATGTTTGTTGAAACCTTTCTGCAAAGTTTCCAGCATTGGAGGTTCTACATTCCCTCAACTGATTGTTCTTTCTAGTAATTTTTATTTCCTAATGCTCTTTTTCCCCTCCTCCTCACTACGTGGTGTCCCAAATAGGGCACGGTGACCCAACAGAGACATTCCTTGCATTTTAAATGCCTTGCAATACTTATCCGTCCCCTTACACAATATCCCAGACGATGCACGTTTTGTCAAGGCTGGTTGTGACACACTCTTGGTCGTTCTCCTTAATCTTGATGCAGGACACAGCACACGTGTGCTCCTTCAGAATTTGGATCAGTTTCTGAGTCTTCTCTCTGATCTCCCAGATCCTCACCTGAAAATCAGCAACAAACATCTGCTCTTGTACCACCTGGTGCTGACCCAGCTCAGGAGGATGCCTAGGGCTTTCCTGAACTCTTCTTTTTTTGGATAACACAGACAGGAACTGAATCTCAACAGACTCATCTCTATTTTCCTGTGGGTTATTCCTGCAGCTGACTCATGAAACTGAGCTAAATTCCCGAGAGTGTAATCCCTTTGGTTCAGGAACTCCTGCCCATTAACCCAGACCTTGTTTTTGCCAAGTCTCCACTCTCCCATGCTTCGGTTCACTCATCTCTCAATCAGCAAAAAGCATCTAGTCCATGATATATTTCCAGTGGTGCTTTAAAGATCAAAGAGCACAGCTTCTGCTGCGGAATATAAAAAGGGTACCTGCTATTTGTGCTACACACAACACCAGTAAGTAAATACAAACCAGCTCTTTAACTCTTTGATGTGAAATATGTGCCTGAAAGCACCTCTTTTCCCAGTGGGGATAACAGCAAAAATCTTTCTGCTTTGAGGGCTTGATCCGTGACACCTTACATTTACCATCCTGCTAGTGCCAAACTTCATGGTATCTTTTTGCCTTTACATTCCACTAAGGTCAAATCCTAGTGAAACTTAGAAATTTAGAGGCTGAGCTGACCACCTTCCTCGTTTCCAAGCCTGGTGCTGTGGGATCCAGATGCCCAATTCCCACTCGCTAAACTATCAGAGCATCCAGATCCCTGAAACACCCCTGAAAGTCCCAGCTTCCGGGTGACCGACTTTGACAGAACTATTAACATTTCAGAAGAGCTTTTTTTGTGTTCCAAATGAATACTGCAAGCGCTCCCCTGCAGTTCTCATTTCTACTTAACCAACCTTTAGCTTTAGTTCTTCTCTCAGCCGGGCTCTTTTCAATTCAGAGATCAACTAACCAGAGCCAGTGCTGGTCTGTGTGTGCTGACACAGAATCTAGGTCCTCCCTCTTCCACATCCTCTAGCGCTAATCATCCAAAAACTGATCTTTTATTAGCGAAGGGCTGAAGTGGCTCATTGTCTCTAATGTCTCTGTGCTGGGAGATGAGGCGGCGCTGCCCTCACTGAGGTGTGGGATGATGCAGGAAGACGGGTCACTGATTAGGACATTATCCTGAGATTTGGGAGACCCCAAGTTTAACTCCTCGCTTGTCGAGGCTTCCTGTGCCACCTCCTGTGGGGGACACTGAGCGTGTGTGTACCCTCCACATCAGGGTACACAAACAAAGCACAGAGCCATGAACTCAGAGCCAGGAATCCGTACAATTAAATGCCTGGTTCTGAGCGCTCGCCAGACTACAGAGAGAAAGCCCAATGCAAGGCAAGAAGCTGAACGTGAGCCTCCCAAGTCTAATTATTTATTTTTAATATAAATAAGGTCCCCGTGATTAAGTTTCTTAAACAAGAGGAGTGTCACTTTTACAGACTGAAAAGGGCCACAACCATATGAAGTGGATGGAGTAGCCAAAGCACACAGTGTTTATTTTATGCTGCCTGAAAAAAAACAGCATGACCAATCCGGCCAAAACCATGACAGAACTGCACAGGTATGATGCCTACAGCATACTTTCTGATTTTTCACAGAATCACAGAATCTTCATGGTTGGAAAGGACCTCTGAGATCACCGAGTCCAAGCATACACGCACAAAAGACCCCCGCAATCTCGGCCACTAGAGCAACTCATTATTTGTATTGGAGTATTACCATAACTGTATCAGAAACTGGGTGATTATTTGCCTTTTATTGACACCATCACCTAAACCGGACAGTACCATCCCAGGAAATTAGGAAACTACCCCACAGACACTACAGCAACATCAAGTGAACTTTGTGGTATGAAATGAATTCATACAGGTCGGTTTGGAGAGGACTAAGACTTCCAAAGGAATGACAGACAGAGAATCTGTGCTAGAGCACAGTTAGACAGAGGCCTGCAAACAATGACTAATGCAGATCAGCCAAATACAGGGGAGAGACAAACACAAAGGATTAAGAGCATATTCTGCATTAAAAGAATTTCCAAGGCTGCCACGCCAGAAGAAACCAGGGCATTGTTTTATTTTATGTCCCCTGAGAGCAAGAGATCTGCATCTATCAACAGCTAATATATTTTGAACCCTGTGCTTTGCTCAAGCAAGAGCTAAGGATAGCTCCCGTCCTGACTAAGCAGCTGCAGAGAATCCGCAGGCCCCGCGACAGGACCACGGAGCTGCTCTTTTTGCTGGGGTTTTGAGCAAAAATTACCTGCCCATCCCCTCCTCCGCTAACGATGCGTTTACAGTCACTTGTAGCAGCGATCGCCGTCACTCCCAGGCTATGGGCAGAGTGAATCACATACATTGGCTGGCCCGTCTCTGGCGTGAAGGCACGGATTTTACCGTCGTCCCAAGCTGATGAATAAAAAGGAACAGATTACAGAGACGCACAGACTTTCCCCATATTCTTGTGTCTCTCTCCTTTCCAAATGAACTTGGGTTTTTTATTAAGTTCCAGGCCCATATCCTGTCAGATCATCAGCACACACGTGAAAACCGCTGTATTGTAGATGCGCCACCGAGCTACAGCCCCAAATAAACTATTGAAATTTACTTCCTTCTTTTTGGTTCTACTCTGGGCAAATTGGTTTGGTACTGGGGGGGCTGCACTGCTGCTCTAGGACTACAGTAGCTCCTCTGTAAGCAATCTGCACAGAATCACAGAATCTTCTAGGTTGGAAGGGACCTTAAAGATCATCTTGTCCAACCGTCAACCTAACTGACAAAAATAGACACCCACACAACAAACAAGAAGCATCACCATCACTAAACCATACCTCCCAGCACTACATCAACCCGTCTTTTGAACACCTCCAGGGATGGGGCCTCCACCACCTCCCTAGGCAGCCCATTCCAATGGCTGAGAACCCTTTCAGTGAAAAAATTTTTCCTAATATCCAGCCTGAACCTCCCCTGGCGCAACTTGAGGCCATTTCCTCTCGTCCTGTCGCCTGTGACTTGAGAAAAGAGACCGACCCCCACCTCTCTACACCCTCCTTTCAGGGAGTTGGAGAGAGCAATAAGGTCTCCCCTCAGCCTCCTCTTCTCCAGGCTGAATAACCCCAGCTCCCTCAGCCTCTCCTCATAAGACTTATTCTCCAGA